CGGTGGTCGTGGTGGTGGTGTGGTGGTGGTGTGGTGGTGGTGGGTGGTGGTGGTGGCTGGGTGGTGGTGTGGTGGTGGTTTGTGGTGGTGGTGGTGGTGGATTTGGTGGTGGTGGTGGTGGTTTGTGGTGGTGGTGGTGGCGGTGGTTTGTCGAGATGGTGCTGGTGGTGGTGGTGGCGGTGGTGGTGGTGGGGTGGTGGTTTGTATTGGTGGTGGTGGGTTGTGCTGCTGGTAGTGGTGGTGGTTGTGGCGTTGTTGTTGGTGGTGATGGTGTGGTAGATAATGGTGGTGGTGGTGGTAGTGGTGGTGGTGGTGTTTTGTTGTGCTGGTGGTGGTGGTGATGAGTTGTGGTGGTGGTGGTTGTGGTGGTGGTGGCTGTGGTGGTGGTGGTGGTTGTGCGGTGGGTTTGTGGTGGTGGTGGTGGGTTGAGGTGGTGGTGGTGGTAATGGTGGTGGTGGTAGTGGTGGTGGTTGTGGTGGTGGTGGGTGGTGGTGGTGGTTGTGCGGTGGGTTGGTGGTGGTGGTATTGGTGGTGGGTTGAGGTGGTGGTGGTGGTGGTAGTGGTGGTGGTGGTAGTGGTGGTAATCGTCGCTGCGACCCCGCCATCGGCGCTGCTGGCCGCCGCCAGCGCTGGCGCTGGCGCCGGTGGGGGCAGGAGGTTTGGAGTCCCCCCCCTCCCTCCCCCCCCCTTGGGCTGCCTCTGGTCATCGTCGCTGCGTCCCCGCCGTCGGCGCTGCTGGCGGCCGCCAGCGCTGGCGCCTGCGCCGGCGCCGGGGGGGTAGGGGGGAGGTTTTGAAGCCCCCCCCTTGGGAGGAGGAGGGGGGAGGAGGGTTTCGGGAGGAAGGGGGGGGGTTAGGGGAGAGGGGAATCCCCCTGGTTCTGATCGACGGCGCCGAGTGTCGGGGGGGGGCCCGACCACTGGTTCGAACTGCGACGCCGAATATTCCGAATGCAAGCGCCCGTGAAACGCGCTCTCTCCTATCTCTTTACCTCGGGCCCTGGCTGCGTAGATTGAAAGCCTTGCAATTATTGAGGGAACCATCGAAATCGGGTGCCCGGCCAGCATGCTGTGGAGTGCAATCGTTACTATTGGATCCTTTGCCGCCCGTGGGCGTTCCCATCTTGTCGTGTCCGTGGAGCCGTAACTGCGCTACCAATGTCAAAATATTCGATCGCACACTAAGTCGTCGAACGAATCTCGATTCAGATCGCAAACCTGCCAGATCGTCCTCGAACCCCTCCTCGACGATCGCCCTGCGAGCCAGGGACAGATAGGCGTTGCTTCTCGGTAAATGCGAGAGGCCTCCAATTTGAAACAGCAATGGTAAATGCCAACATGCTTGCTCTATCTGCTGCCTGCTCCTACACTGTGCATGTTATGGCGCTGAAGCGAGGGGGGAAGTCGCATCCAACATCTTAGTCAGACAACCTCCAGAACATACACTGTATGTAGTATATTCACATCGTCATCATCATCAGCCGCAGAAGCTGCAGCAGCATCAGCATCAGCATCACCACTATCAGAAGTATCATCGTCATCACCATCATCATCAGCAGCATTACCATCACCATATTCGTTTTTGCACCAGTATCATCATCACCATCATCATCGTTGTCATCGTCATCGTCATCGTCATCATCACCATCAGCATCTTCATCGTCATAATCACCATCATCGGTCAACATCATTGTCATCATCCCCATCATACTCATAATCCTCATTATCCTCACCACGGCTCTCCCAAACCTGGAGATACGAGGTGTCACACGTGACGGCCTCCTGTGCCCCCTCGAACAGCCGCCACCCAGAATGCTTGGCTGGCACGGTGGCGGGACTTGCTGCAAGCAGCTGAATAAGTTGTGCATCATTTGCGCTCGTGGAGGGCGGCTACCTCTCAAGACGGGGCTCTCGATTGAGACACCTGTGGCTTATCGCATACGTAAACATGCGCAACAATCACAAATGCACGGCGGATCCTTCTCAAGATAGGGATATCGCTGGACACGTTCTTGAATGTATGATCTTGTTTGAGTTGCTATATAATGTGTACGTATGCGTATGCATAGATATATAATGTCTGCACATCTATACAGATATGGACGAATCTATATTTTCATATACACATATATAATATGTGTGTGTGTGTGGATGGCTGTTGGATCTTCTGGTAGCCAAGAGGGAGCAGTTCCGAAATTAAGGGGAACGCTTGTAGGGATTCGTGGGGACGGGACGTGGGGAATGTGTTCAGGACGGGAGTGAGGTCGTGAAGCGACTGGCTCAGGATACATTCCAGGAGTTCTGGAGAATGCGGCGGTCATCGTCTGTGGAGGCCGTGTGGAAGAGGAAAGCTTGGACATCTTGGAAAGTGTGATTCTGGTCATGTCTTACCCCTTTGTGTCGCAGCGTCGTAACATCGCGGACGCGTGGTGAAGGAGGGGGGAGGAGATTGACCAGAAGGAGAATCAGAGGAGCAGGGCGCATCGGCACCCTCACCACCACTAGCTCACGAACCGGAGAAGGTTACACTTGGAGGTGTGGTGCTGCCGATTCGTTCGCCCCGCTCGCCCGGGGATGCCTCGTGGACCTCCTCGCCAGGGAGGGCCCTGCGGGTGGTGCTGGTGTCCTTTCGGCGGATGCGCTGCGCGTCCGTGCGCACCGAGCGGTGCTTCGGCGATTGCTTGGCCCGAGGGCGCCGTCAACAAAGGATGGCCAGGCTCCGGACTCCCGAGAAATTGTCTTTCGTACGGGTTAAGATCGCTTCTTCCCCCCGCAGAGGGCGGAACGCTATGCACAAAAAATCGTGCAGTTCCAGCGGGGGCAGTGCAGGGGAGCGGGGTGAAGGAGGAGGAGGAGGAGAACTAGGTCACCCAACTTCGCGCCATCACCCAATTTGGCGTCATTGCCAACTGCCCTACTCCAGAAACCCTGAACCCAAACACATTAACGTTTCACTTGTACTTCCGCCGCCTTCCACCGACCTTCCGCTGGCAAACCCGCTGCCGGTTTGCTTCCGCCTGCTTGCGCCGCCCTTCCGCCACCTTCCGCCGTAGAGCTAGATGCGCCTATGCCGTAGAGCCAGATGCGCCGAAGGCGGGGCCCTTACTGGAACGCCTCATGCCCATGCACTCTGCCACGGCAGCCGCAATCCTCCTGGCTCAAACATCAGGCAGCCGTCGAGCACGGTACCTGGCATGACAGGCAGCGACACTGAGCAGCAGCAAGAGCAACCAGCAGGGTTGGGCGGGCGGGCGCAGCCTGCCAGGAACCGTCTCTCTGTAGGCGCGGTATGTACAACTCCGAGCAGTCCAGCAGCACTTCGGCTGACGGCGGCTGCTCAGCGCTTCCTAGAAGGGGAGAGGGCTCCGAGCTTGGCAATCGGGCATCGAGCCCTTGTTCCTCCGGTTGCTCCTCCTGCTGCCATTGCTCCTCCTACTGGTTCCGCCGCTCGTGCTGCACCTCCACTGCTGCCTCTTCTGCTGCCGATCCTGCTAGGCAGCAGGGGCAGCATGATATGTAAAGGAAGGAGATGGCCTCAAGACTGCCCGAGAGGCTTCGAAGACGTTCAAAGGGGGCCCCAACAGGATCCACCAAGAGGGCCCCAAGAAGAGAAGGTAGTCCAAACCCCATGGGAAACCATATATGTGTGGCAGATTCGTATTTGTCTGTTTGAAACAGACGATTCGAAAAGGCCTCCAAGAGCGCTCCAAAACGGCCCAAGAACCCCCCAAGAGGGCGACTCAACGGCCTCGGGTCCCAAGACGGCGCAAAAGGCGCCCAAGGTGGCCCAGGAGGGCCCCAATAGGACCCCAAGAGAGGCCCAAGAGAGGCAACTCGTACTGACATTCCGAGGATTGAGCCCCAAGACGGCTCCCGAGACCGCGAGCAGGCGCCCGACAAACTCCCAAAAGGCCTCAGACGGTCCCCAAGAGGCCCCAAAAAGGCCTCACCCATGGACTCTTCCCTCTTCTGGGGGTCGGCGGAATAGCGTGAGCCTCTTCAATCGAGGGAGGAGGAGCAGATCTCCTCCTCTTCCTCCTCCTCCTCCTCCTCCTCCTCCTCCTCCTCCTCCTCTTGCCGTCTCCTGCTGCTTTTGTCGCTCCCCCTGTCCATGTTGTTCCAACCTGCTCCTGCTGAATGACCTGTTGCTCACCCCTCTCTTCTCCCCTCGAACAACTCCTTATGGTCCTCCTCCTCCTCCTCCTCCTCCTTCTCCTCTTCCGCCCCCCACTCCCCTCCTCAACGCCTGCTCTCTACTCCTCCCTTCCCCTGCTCCTCCCGATGCTTCGAGCCTCCATTGGGGCGCAGGCATCCGACGCCGCCCAAGGAGAGAGCGGTCGTGCGGCAGAGCCTCGCAGTGATGGCACCCCCGTGCGCACACTCGTCCGCGGCCTTCGCCTCGTGGCTCGCCGTGTTGTGCTCGGCGAGGCGGCGGGCGCCGTCGTCGCTGTCGGCTGCGTCCGCCTCGACACCGCCGCGCGCCTCGGCGGGGGAAGTCTGGTATCGATGCCTGCCAGACTGCGCTCGCCGCAAATGGCACCGTCTCGCACTTGCCCCTCACTAAGACAGCGCCCGCCGCCGCTGCCGCGCATAGAGTCGGGCTGCCGCGGCGCCGAGCGCCCGCCTGGGCCTCCAAGTTCCGTTTTGGTCTCCGTCGCCGCGTTCGGTGCGCCAGCCTCCTCCTCTCGCATAGGCACAACAGCCTCGGTGCAAGATCTGACTGTCGGTTGTCGTCGCGCCGCGCGGTGCAGAGACCGTGATCCACGAAGCCATGGCACGGTGATCGACGGGGGGGCGGCTTGCGGGGAAGACGAGCGGCACGAAGCACAGAGCACGACCGCCGCCAATGTGGCGTCAAGGACAGGAAATGAAATGAACAGCTATGTTCGCCCCCCGCGCCCTGCAGAGTCGACTCTCGAAGCCTCCCCCGCACTTTACGCAGATGGATTTAACCATATTGGCTGCGGGCTCATCCCGGGCACCCTCCCTTTCCCTGCCTTCTCCTCACACGACTGCATCCCACGCTGACGACCGATCAGTCGTCGATCGGCAGCGGCCGCGAGCGAGCCGAGCTTAGGCTTCGGGCACTGATGCCAAGTAGTTCTGTGGCACAGATTCCTGGTGGCGCGCACAAAGGGCCAGGGGCAGGCACGAAAGGCTCGTGGCTTCTTGAAGGCGGCCGCCTGGAAAACCTGCGCGCCGCGTCATGTTTCGGGAGCGGGCAGCCTGCACGAAAGCCGCTCCCCTGGCCCTCACTCTCGCCCTCCGACTCTCCGTCCTTTCCCTCCTTCCCCGAACGCCCCCCCCGCGCCCCCCCTGCCTCCGCCCACTTTTCCTTCTCTCGCTCGAATCGTACTCCTCCTGCGCTTCCCCCGCCGCCACCTCCCCTTCCCCTTCCCCCCCCCCCCCCCTCTCCCCCCCCCGCCTCTCGCCCCCTCCCCCCCCATCCCCCCTCCCTTCCTCCTCCTCCTCCTCCTCCTCCTCCTCCTCCTCCTCCTCCTGCTCCTCCTCCTCCTCCTCCTCCTCCTCCTCCTGCTCCTCCTGTTCCTCCTCCTCGAGCGTAGCTGCGCAACAATGTTTTTCCTCTGCTCCTAACCGCAGGGCGGGCGACCTGGTGCCGCGCGCATCGCATCACCTGTCTGATGCGGCTGTCGGCCACGGGCGCTGGCATCTCGACCAGCTCGCGGCGCAAGTAGAAAGCATAAATGGTGGGAACAAACGAGGCGAGGGGCGGGGAGAGAAGGCCGAGGCGAGCGATCGGGCACGATGGCAACGAGGACAGAGAGGAGCAAGAAGTGGCACGAGTGAAGTGAGGGCAACACCACAGATGGCGAAAATTACATTGGGTCTGACATCTAAAATAACAACTATTCTGTTCTTGGAAGGCTGCTGCTGTAATCCAGCCTCCACAGAGTGTCATCAACGCGGCAGTGCGCCATGCAGGAGGAAGGGGGAGGAGCTGGGAACGAACCTCTTCCCACGAAATTGATTGGATGGCGGGCAGATATCGAGGGAACCATTCGCATAGTCTCTTGTGGAAGAGGGCGGCGAGTTGTTCAGGAAGAAGGGAAGACGTGAGATGTCGGGGGGGATGACGTTGCGGACGAATAGCTTAAAATACTGAGATGCTGCTTGTCACGTCGAATATCGCTAACACCTTGAATAGCACGCTTCGCAGCATCTTTCAGAACTCGATCTTTGGGGAATCCGTTGGAAGCATCTCGGAGGTTGGCCGCAAGCGCTGGGGATCTCCAGAAAGAGGGCCACGGGGCACCAGCCAGAGCACGGGTCAGAGAGCATTCCTCGACGCACACTTCTTCCAAAGACTGATCGGCGTCCGCCCAGCAGGTACATGCGAATAGACTCGCCCGCATCAACTGAGCTAGGTTGATCATCTTGAGACTTTGCACTATCGGCCCGCCCCGCGAGACCAAGTCGGCCAGGCCGCTTCTGTCAATCTGCAGAACGGCAAATTAAAGATGTTCGTCAGGAGCTTGAACTCCTGCTTCTTGAGCGACACTGGGAAGGGCTGGGATTGGCCCGCGTGATAAAGAACAGAGCTGATTCTATAATCATAGAGCAGGGCCGACACTTGAGCTGCGCCCCCTTGTCTCGACAGCTCGCGGCAGCGGGAAACATCATATCTTCTGAAGGGTTTGGCCCGGGGCGTCAAGGGGGAAACCTCGGGGCCAATCCGCAGCCCAAAGTGCAAGACCGACCCCTCCATCGAGAAGTCGCCCCACTCGGGGGCGCCCCGCCGAAGTCGCACGCGGTAGAGCTCTTCAACGTGCTCAGAGAAGGAGTCGAAGAGAGGGCCGATGTTGCACTTCTTCTTGAGGTTGAGGTGGGCGAGGACGGAGGCGTCGACGAAAACGGGATATGCGAAGTAGAGATCGACCATCCTGCGCAGCGCGGCGCCGACGCCATCGGCACAAGCCCTTGCAATGCCTCTCGGGGTGGATGGGGCCTCCAAGATACTACAAAGTTTAATGAGAAGCGGATCAGCCCCAACCGCATAGAGGGCACCGCTGGCGGGGCAACCTTGGAGGATGCCACTGGGGACCCAGTGGGGAAGCCCCCCCCCCCCCCCCCTCAAAAAGAGAGAGAGAGAGAGAGAGAGAGAGAGAGAGAGAGAGAGAGAGAGAGAGAGAGAGAGAGGACCCCAAGACACGAGACTTGCCAATAGAGGTGGAGGATAAAGGCGAGTAGAGGTGGAGGATAAAGGCGAGAAGAAAGGGCAGGAGGACAGGTCCGCTTGAAGGTTTCGATCATCCATTCCTGGGGCATCGACGGAAAGGCTTGGCCGAAATCAAAACTAACCAGGAGGGGGGCAGCGACGTTCGGCTTGAGGCCCCATCCCAGCGCGGCGACCTACCGCATCTAACTCGATGATGTTGTCTCCGAAATTCCGAAAGGGAACAAACCCACGCTGGGCTTTCTGGAGGCCGAGGGGTAAAGCTTGGGCAACGGGCTTGGCCGCCAACGTCGCAATGATGTTGTTGTCGCAGTTCTTTAACCCCAGGGGTCTGGTGTCAGCGCGAGCACGGACGGCGCCGCCCCCCTGATCCTCAGGTTCGTCCCCCTTTCGGGGTAAAAGCCCCGAGCGCGGCGTCGAAGTCGGGCAACATGCGGGCGCCAGAGTACATCCACTGCGTGCAGTCCCAGAGGAGGTCCGCGCCTCCAGGGGCGCACTGCCACGCAGCGCGCGGGGCGCGGTGAGGCCCAGGGGCACTGCGTTGGAGCATTGGGAGAAGACGGGAGAACTGTTGGAACGCAGGTGGCGGGAGGTGGGAGCGCGAAAGGAACGGGGGGAAATCGTTGAGAAACTGCTGGGCCCCAGGGGCATCAAATGGTTGTTTCAGTGAAGACGGGTCCCCAATGAGAGGCGAGCGCTTCCAACACCTTAGCTGGCGTCTGGAAAATCTGCTGATCGGCAGTCCGAATGCTGGCGAGCGGGGTTCTGCGATCGAACGGAAGCCTCAGACGGGCGAGCCTCTGGGCGCGCCGAGCACGCCGATGCACGCGGGCAACGCGAGCTTGATTGGAGAGCTGCCGAGCGTTCGCGGCGATCGCTGAGCAGGGCGCTCGGGCGACCGCGCGGCGCAATGCGTTGGAGAGCAGGGTGAAGGACGAGGGCAAGATGAGGAATATCGTCTTCGTCTCGTAGCATACCGTGATGCGTTCTCGACAAAGGGGGCGGGGGGCGGAGAAGTTTCTCGGCAAGCGGTAGCTGCTGGCGGAAGACCGCTCGCGCCATGTTCCGGACCAGCGCGCGTTCCACCAGGGGGGAGTCGGGGTTCTTGTAGATCATCATGTTTCTGCTTATTCTGGCGCACTCAAGAATAACTCCCTTGACGAAGGCGAGCCGAGGAGGGGGCGAGAGATGCTGGTGCGGAGCGGCGTCGAGCGTCTGCTGGACGCAGCTCTTGAAAGTAGGCGCGCTAGAGATCTCCTTCGGGATTGGCCGCTGTCCCGCACGGACATCCTCTCGCAGCTTGAGAGTGACCGCCACCGCAGCGTGATCTGAGATCTTCTCGGCCGCTAGGAGTTCGGGCTGGTCTACCCCCCCCCCCCCCGCCAGATGCGAATTGCGAGACGATCCAGCCAGGCAACGAGGAGAAAATCCGATCAATAAAGGACAGACGGGAGGTCTGCGCATTAAAGTGGGGTGGGGGGGGGGGGGGGGGGGTCGACAGCTCAAACTCAACAGAGTCCTCGAAGGCTTCGCGCCACTCATGGGGGAGAGGTCGAAATTCAAGGTCAGCAGCTGCAGGGGGGCCAGGGTCAGGGTTCAGAGGGATGGACTCGAAGGAGGGGATGTTGAGGCCTGAACACAAGCTTGTTCAGGGGATCTGCATGGACTTCTTGAGTGGCAGTACTTATCCTGGAAAGGAGAATGCGTCTGTCGCCACGAGACAAATCAAAATTGTGGACGTTGAAGTGCTTGACCCAGCGCTGCCCGCCACCGGCCTCGAAGGTCGTGCAAAGGGCTCGCCCAGGGATGCGGTTGGAGGAAGAGATGGATGGCCGCTCCTGCCCGAATGTCGCCAACCTCTCAGCTGGCGCAGGGAACCTAGGAAAAAGAGTGATCACGCCACCTGTAGCAGAGACCTGCTGGGAACCAGAGGAGGCTGGGGAAAAAGAGAGGGAGGCTTGGAAGGGAAGGTTGAGATGGTGGAGCATGTCATGCATCTCACTCTCAGACCCGTGGGTCTCCTGAATCGAAACGATACTGCCTCGGACCAGCAACCTTCGCAAGAAGCGGATCTTTTTTCTGGCGGACTGTCTCGTTGCGGTGGAAGAGAGAGCGCGAAATCAATGTCACTACACGGAAGGAGAAAGCGGATGCATTTAAAGACGTGCTCGATCCATGCCACAGGGCGCTGAAGGTGTTAGGAACTCCACACTGTCGGATTCGGGCCCGCCAGGGCACGTGTGACAATCGGCAGGAGCTCAGCCAAAGAGAAGCCCTCAGCAGCAAGGTTCGCATGTGCCCACGAGACCTCAGGCTGGCCATCATTGGGGACAGGCGAGAACTTGACCAGCGGCCGCCAGTTCGACGAGATCTCGCCTTTGAAATTGTCCACGAAGAACCTGCGAGACGGAAATGCGTCCGCCAGGGCGCGGCGGACCGCGCGGCAGCAGGTCTCGCGCTTGACGGTGCACGCGTTCTTGTCGGGGCCGACGTAGAGCTCAGAGCGTTCACCTGTGGTGGCCGTCGTCTCGAAGGTTCTGTATGCCGAACCAGACTCACACTGTCCACGTAGAAGACGAAGATTGCCCAGCGCCTGCGCCACCCGACGGGCAGCCAGCGCCTTCGGGCCATTGAGACGAATCATGTGCCTCTTGCTGGTGGGGTCGCCATCCACCAGCCAGTCGTCCTCGGCGATGTTGGAGTCCACCATCCAACTGCGAACAGCACTGGCAACCGCAGCAGCCGTGACCAGGAACTTGGAACGAACGATGATAATGCCAGCGTCGATCTCGCGATCGAGCGTGCTTCTGGGGATGTACTACTTGACGGCGGGTGGCTCTTTCTTGACGATGGCAAGCTCGTTCCGCAACTCGCGGATCTCCCGCGCGGCGGTGGAGAGCCTGTCGTCCTGAGCCTTCTAAAGTGTCCCCACGACGCTGAGGCGCTGCTCCACGTACTGGTGCAGGTCCTGGTGCAATTTGGAGAGGGAGCCGCGGAGACTAGCCATGGAGGCGTTGACGCTGGCCAAGGAGGAGTTGACGTTGTCCGAGACGGTGGAGACATTGTCCAGGGCGGTCTTGAGCGTGGTGTCCGCAACGTGTTTGTACTTGTCGCGGTCGGAGCGTACAGCAGCCATATCATAACGAAGAGTAGCCAGATCACCCTTGAACCGCTTGCCGCTCTGGGTGCGCGGGGACTGCGGCGGGGACAGGAAGTGGGCATCCGCGGAGGCCGCCACGTCGTTGGGGAACGTGGGAACTTCTTCCCGAGCACGCAAGAGATCTGCATCAGGAGCATCGCCAGCACGGGCGGGCGTCTGCACTTGTACACCATTGCCACTCATCTCCGCCTCAAGAGCTGGAGGCACCCGCGAAAACAAAATGGAAGCAAAACCCACGGCCGCACGAGGGCGCACCGTGGGGATCGTGCGAGAACGAAAGAATGCCTGCTGCAGGCGCACACGCCTCGGGCCAACTCCTCGGCAGCAGACAAGCACGAAACCGCAGGGCGACGGTTCCGTACTTGAGCCAAAATGGCTACGGACCCTCCTCCTCCTCCTCCTCCTCCTCCTCCTCCGCCTCCGCCTCCTCCACCTCTCTTCCTCCTCCCCCTTCTCCTCCTGATCCTCCTCCTCCTCGTCATCCTCCTCCCTCGCCCTGCCCCCTTGTGCGTGCCGCCAAGATGCCACCGTCCCACGGGAAGCGACGAGTTCTGGAATCACAAAAGATGGTCCAGACGCCTTGGGCCGCCATCGGCACGCCGCGCAGTGCAGACGCGAGCGGGCGACGTCGCTTGGCGCGCCGACAGCGCCACCCGATCCATCCCCCTCCCCCTCCCCGGCTATCGGATCCCTCTCGGCGTTGAATCGGGTGCCCCCCCCTGAGCCGATCCTCCCCTAACGTTGCTTTTGACCTGCTCCCTCCTCCCTGCTCCATGCCCCCGACCCCTGGCTCCCTCCTCCTGCTCCTCCCTGGCTCTCTCCGCTAACCGCCCTGTGCCGCCTCCTTCACTGAGCCATGCCTCTCTCTCTCTCTCTCTCTCTCTCTTTCCAGTAATCCCTCCTGCTCCCTCCCTCCTAGCGTTTGCAAGGAAGTCTGTACTCCTCCAAGTGTTCTGGACACGTTCTCCGCTCATGCAGCAACCCAACGTACACAGCAGGAGCCCGTCTTTAGAATTGCCAGGGCACGAACGGGAACTCTCACGGTGGGGCCTACCATTCATCGTGCCGCCAGTGGATAGACAACGCAATCCCAGAAGCCAATTGTGTTCGAAACAATTTCTCTTTCCTTCTCCCCCTTTCCCCCTTGCTGCCAACGTCCCTCCTTCAAACCTGAGCGGAGTCCAACACCAGCACCAGATCGCCCCTCCTTCACCTCTGCAAATGTCCGCTCGTCTCCCTCGCTGCACCCCCTACTGCTGAACCCATATTGCTGTACCGCATCTGCTGGTCCCAACCTACGGAGCCGGCAACCATGTCAGCAAAGAGTATGCGCACTGACGTTGACCGCTGAAACTAACAACATTTAAACACTTTTGGCTCATGCCATGTTTGAACTAACTGTTGCACTTGTGGCCGCGACCACGCGTGCACGGATGCAGGAGAAGGAAGACAACTAACAAAATCACCGCTCCGACTCCCTACTGCACGTCATGGCCTCGGGTCGGATTAAATACTCTACGAGCCCAACCTACTCGTGCAACTCAATGTCCAGAAAATGGCCCTGGGTCGAATTTCTGCCGGCACCCTGCCCTTCCGAATCTCCCTTACGATGCGATGCGAATTGCTTGGTTCATGTTGACATGTTGCCGCCTTCGGGCGATGACCTGCGACCCCGCTCGGGGGGGGGGGAAACGAGCAGAACGAGCAGCGGCAAAGAGAGCGAGGGGAAAACCGGCATGGAGCAAACGGGTCCCGAGGGAAACGGGTCCCGGCCCCTGGGGCCTTTCCAGGGAGGCAAAAAAACGACGGAAAGCATCCTGACCCATGTGTTTCATGGCAGGAAGGAAGAAACCGATCTCGCCGAGCAGCAGCAGCTGCAGCACGGGACACCCCTCGGGCCCTCGGGCACCCGCTAACATGGATCACGGATCTGTGGATCTGGCGCGTGGGCAAAAATCCACGGATCGGGGAAACTGTTCCCCGAGACATGAAGCGACTGCCGCTTGATTTGGCGAAGGAGCGCGTCGATTTCGCATGGAAGCGGGACCCGTCGGTACTCCACGCGCCTCAATCCATGTTCGCGTTGCCTAGAACCCCGCCCACTGATGCCCCACGAACCCCTGCCGGCCGTCGCCCCTTGTACTTCAAATGGGGCCCACGCCTGGCGCGGCCAGAGCGGCGCTGGCCTGGCGCGGCCAGAGCGGCCAAGAGCGGCCCAGAGCGGCAAGGTCATCGACGCTCCGAAGGGCGGAGGGCCCTGGAACGACCAGACATGTCATGCCGTGCCCCCTCCGCCCCGAGGGCCAGACGGCAATCTGCGAGGGTGCGCCGCTGGATGCTCCAGAGGGGGGGAGTCCCAGAACCCCTCCCTTTCCTCCTTTACCTTGGTCCGTCGTCACGGGGCTCCCCCTTTCAAGGTTCCGTCGTCCCAGGCCCCCCGATTTCAAAATGGGAGGAGTACTGAATCCGCCCCCCACTTGGATTCGAAAATCGGACTCACCCACCCCGCCCCCTTTGGCCAGGCCCCCTACCTCTGGAACCCGAACCCCCTAACCCTACCGCCCTGCCCCTGACCCTAGCTTTAACATTAACACCTTCACTCCCAAACGCTACCACCCCAACCTTTATACCCTAACCCGAGCCGAACCACCCTGAACCCTCAGCCCTAACCCTAACACCCTCACCCGGACCTCACCACCACCCTACCTTGCACTGACACCCTACATCGAAAAACCCTACCGCCTGAACCGTAAACCTAGGCGTAACACCCTGGCCCAAACACCGATACCCTAAGTCCCTGGCCCTAACACCCCAACCAAGACACCCTAAGCCAATCACCCTAGCCTTAACACCCTAACCAAAAAAGCCCTAAGCCTAACATCCTACCCTAAACACCCTAACCCCCACACCCTAAGCCCAATACCTTAAGCCCAATAACCCCAACCTTGACGCTCTAACCCTAAATCTCTAACCCGTAAGCCTAGACCCGAAGCTCTAAGCCCCAAGCCCTTAGCCCCAGGCCCAAGCCTCAAGCCCCAAGCCGTAAACCAGAAGTCCTAAGCCCTAAACCCCAAGCCTCAAACCCAAAGCCGTGAGCCCTGAGCGCAAAGCCCTAATCTTTAACACCCCAACCCCAAGCACTAAACCCTAAGTCCGAAACCCCAAACTCTAAAGCTTACTGGGAGCTGCGAGGTCTCGGCTGGATCTGCGTGTCCCCTGACTTCGCCAGACCTCCCATGACCCCAGGCAGGACGGCGAGGTAGGAGGCAGGGCGGCAGACAGGAAGGATGGGGACAGGGGAGGCGGGGTCGGGAGGGGGTCGCGACTGCAATGCTCTGTTCAAAAAGAGAACCCATCGCAAGAGGGTTGGGAACATGTGCCACGCGGTGTACATCTGCTGATCTTAGCCTCGCTTAAGCAGGCCTTCAAGCCTCGCGAGTTGATGCAAGTATGCCTCGCAGACGTAGCTCTCTCAGCTGAATGTGGAATATGCATCATCACCATCATCATCATCATCATCATCATCATCATCATCATCATCATCATCATCACCACCATCATCATCATCAGCATCAGCAGCAGCAGCATCATCATCATCACCATCACCATCACCATCATCATCATCATCATGAGGGGTGTGGAGTCGCGCGTGGACGTCGTCGTCGTCGTTGCTGTGGTCGTCGTCGTCGTGGTCGTGATCGTCGTCGTCGTCGTCGTCGTGGTCGTCGTCGTCGCATTGGACGACGACGACGCGACGGCATCATCATCATGGGGGGGGGACGGGGGTAGCACGTCGACATATTCGTCGTCGGTGCCATGGTCGTCGTCGTCGTCTTGTGCGCCGACGACGCGACAACGTCGGTGAACCGAAAACGTAGTCTAATGACAGCGAGACGGCCCACTGCGGCCACAAGACGGCCCAGGATGGCCCACACACCAGAGGATGGCCCGGTAAATCTACGTTAGACCCAATATGGCGCTTCCCAGAAACACGGCGGGGATTGGTGAGAGACGGTGTGCAATTATAGTGAAGCGGCGCGAACAGTCAGGATCGAACAAATCAAGCAAGGTCGCTGCCAGCCAAATAATCAAGTTTGCCAAAATGACAGCATGTCAGCAGGCGTAGTCAAGTAAACATGTGTAAGCTCTCTGGTCGTCGTCGTCGTCGACGACGACGTCGTTCGGTACAGCCCCGATCTAAACTCTTCACGATGGAAATATGTGCTGCCCATGCTCTACTGCAGCAGTAAACTACGCGGTGCAATCTGCCGATCTCAACATCGCCTTATCAAGCCTTCAGCCTTCACGGTCCGATGCTAATGTTTTGTTCTTGCGCACCCGCGATGTAAACCTTTCACGCCCGAAAAAAACTTCTCACGGTGGCAACCTGTGCCGCTCGCGATCCTGTCCAACGAACACCATGCGGTGCACATCTGCTGATCTTAACATCGCCCTCTCAAGCCGTCAACCTTCACGATCCTGCGCAAACAATATCAAATCATATGATTTTCTGCGCACCCCCGATGTGAGCCTTTCACGATGAAGATCTGTGCCGCTCACGATCCTCTGGCCTGACGCACAAAGGTTCCCCCCCAGAACCCCCACCAGCGCAAAGGCAGGGGGTCCGAACTCTCCCCCCTCTCCAGCGCAAAAAATGGGCGGTCTGAAAACCTCACCCAACATTTTCAAAGGGAGCGGGGAGGGGGGTCGGGGTGTGCGAGCACACACACACACACAAACACACACACACACACATTTTTCAATTAAGGGGCATCCGCTGGCGCACTTTCGCAATCTGCCCTCCTCCTCCTTCACGTCTCCCCTTCCATTGTCCTCCCCATCCTCCTCCTTCGTCTCCTCCTCCTCCTCTTCCTTCTCCCTCTCCTCCCGCCCTCTTCCAACCCTCCGTCCCACTCTCTCCTCGTCTCCACATCCCTCCTCCTCTCCTCCTCCTCCTCCTCCTCCTCCTCCTCCTCCGCCTCCGCCTCCGCCTCCACCTCCGCCTCCTTCTCCTCCCCCTTCTTCTCCGCTTCCTCCTATCCAGTGCCCGGAGGCTGGAAGCACACACCGCACATTCGTGTGCGGCACGTGCGGGGGCCACCTGCTGGATACACGTGTCAAGTACTCGGGGGCATCGCATCTGGCCACAGGGGGGCCGAGAACCGAGCGGCGGCCACATGTGTCCAACTCTCGCCTGGACCAGCGACTTCATGTCGTTGCCACAGCTCCCCAGCATGTACACAACCAAGGGGCATACGTGCTGTCGGTATTTCATGTATCCCCACGGGGCACCCGCTTGCAGGCTTGCTCTAACCCCGAAATGGTGGCTTCCGCGGAGCCGATTGGCCATCTGCCGCTCTGTCTGCGGCTCAGGCCGCGGGAGGGCCCGCCTCCCATACATCCGAAGTAGTGGCAGAACAACAACAGAAAGCACGACATTGCGCGAAATCGCTAACAGGACCCTCGACCGCATAACTTCCGCTGCGGCATTTCTCCGGCCATATCGGTCCGTGAGGACCCACAGGAATCCCAAATTGGCATGAGGGGAAATGGTCCTGCCGGAGGCGGTCCTTGACGACTGCGCTCTCCCTGGGACCAGAAATGGCTCCGAGAAGGCCGAAGCGGGGAAAGACTGCGGGACCCCTCTACCCCAAGGCCCCTCTGTCTGTTTGGCGGCGGGC